GCCATTTTAGTGGGGGACTTGAGCATATGAAGATTTTGGTAACTGAGAGGTGTCCTGGAACCCATCTCTGATGGGCACAAAGACAACTGTCCTGACTAGTTGGTCCAGGTTGCCCAAGGTAATTGTTCACAACACTGATCATCCCTGTGCTTGCCCTAACTTGAACTAATACATGCATCTGTATTGGTCCTAGCCCCAGCCTCAGCTTCAAGGAGCTTGGGAGAGCCACAATGTCTTTTAGCATCTGCTATTAAATTTTTCCTAGACGAAAGATATCATGATAATTTTTCTCTGACTATTTAGCTTTTCCCATAATTATGCAGTTTAATTAAACCAGCAACCCACAGAATTCACTCAGCTGAGACTGATAACTGAGACTGATGTTTTTTAGTCTTGAATTTTTCTACATCAAGCTAATTTATGCCCACCTACAACGTATTGTTTCCACTTGTAAAATTGGATTAAAAAGAAATCCCACTCTATTTCTTACTCCTTGTGTGAATTTTCAAACTCTTGGGTGTATCTGAATCTTTGGCAGCTTTCCAGTCAATGAGATGCAATACATGGTCCCTTAACGGAGGAATGGCTTCATTTATCTAATGGTTTCAGGAAATTCAGTACTTGGTCTGCTGGCTCCAAGGCAGAAACCTCATGGCAGAAGGACCTGGCAGAGCAAAGCTGCTCAGTTCATGGCAGCCAGGAAGCAGAACAAAGTAGCAGAAGTACAGAAAAAGGGGAAATGTCACGTCTCCATCATCCAACTCAGGTATACCCCGTAGCATGCCTTACCAATCTAACAGGCATTTCTTAACCCAAGAAGTTGACAAATCAGGATTAATGGCTATAGTCTTCAAGGGAGATTCCTGGGCTCTGGGACAGAGTTGGTGTGTCTTTGAGTTGGTGTCTTTGAGAAAGGCACACAGTGAATGAACCCCCAAGCCTGATGTGTGAAGGGGTGGTCCCCAGGGTGGTGATATTGAGAGATGGAGGAACCTTAGAAGGTGAGGCACAGGGAAGGCAGACAGGCCATTAGGCCTTGATGGGATACTGCAACTCTGCCACTCCTCTTTCTCTCTTTGCATCCTAGAACCAACAAGTGAATAGGTCTGCGCATGGACTGACACCTCTGCAACCATGAGCTGAAATAAACCTTTACTCCTTTTAAGTTATTTTTCTCAGGTATTTTGTCACAGTAATGGAAAGATGACTACCACTGATAGAAAAATAAGATACCAACTGTCTTTGCTGCATCATACATGCTCAGTAAATAGTAGTCAGTATAAAACATCACATGACTGAAAGAAGTGCAATTTGTGTTCTGCCCACTGCAGCAGAATAGGAAGTTTTCTTTCATACATCCTCTGAGGCAGCTATTTTATAGCCGTTTTTCTGGGGAACCAAGTCTTGGAAATGCTAAGGGGAACTCAGGCAAGGTCTCATGACCAGTAACTGTGCTTCAGTATGGTAATAAATCAAGTAGGAGAGCTACACAATCTTACCAGCATTTAAGTTCTCAACCACCAGTATCCCCTTAACTCTCCTACTTATTTGTTTTAATTGCTTTGAAGTTAAGTATCAAAAAATAGCACAATGCTTCCTGGGCAACAGTTGTTTTACTCTATATAGCTGCAACCCAATACTCTGGGTTTAGTGAAGTAAATGAATGTCTCAACCAAGATTTCCTCCAAGATCTGATTAGTTTTTTAAGAAATCCCATTTTGGGACTGACACCTCAGTCTGCCTCTGGAATGTCAGTATAGCATGAGGCAGAATGAACTCTCGCTGTAACTAAGGTTATCTGTTGCCTCCATGTGAGCAGATAGCTTGCTTCCTACTGCTTCTCTCTTCTGAAGTAGTTCAGGTTTTCAGTCCCACTCCTGTTTAAATTGGCAACCAAAAGCTTTTATGTCTGGTTGATCTTCAAGAGTTTGAAAGCTTTTACTTTTCTATGTGGTTTTCACTAAAAAACAATTAAATTAGGGCAATTATTGTTATGAATCCTTAAAGTATGATGTAGCTTCTGCTTGCCCTGTCCCCTTAAACTGTCAGACTGTGTCCTGTTTTCTCTTGGCATTCTACGATTATGTCTTCAAATTGCTTATTTCTTTCTTGTAGCACCTAGCACAAACTCAATATTTTTGAGCACGAGAAGAAAACTAAAATAGTTCTCCATTAAACTTTTTATTGATCAAAATTTGAATTTTAATTATCTGAAATGCTGATATTTTGTTACTTAAAATTCAAAGGTGTAGAGACAGATAATCATGTGAGGATATAGTATATACTGATTGAAATTAAGATAGGCTTCTTAAGCTGTGTTATGACTCAAAGAATTTGCTAATTAACCAAAAGTTTTATGTGGCTTTGATTCTGTAGTGCCTGATCTTCCTTTCCACTGAAAGTTCAGACCCAAATAAAGAGTAAAATTAAAGTGTCTGGCAGCGATTCAATGAATCTGTAATGAACACCTATACTCTTGGTCCCTGTCAACTGCATGAATATTGGAAAAGCAGATGTAACTATTAAAATGAAACAGAACGTCCTAGTTCTCAGCATTTTGCCATACAGAAAGCTACTACTGTTAGCTTGAATCACCACCATCATCATCACCTTTATTGCAACCACCTCCATGACCATCATCGCTGCCTCCACATCACCACCACCACCGCTGCCACCTCTGTCATCCTGCTTCCAGAATCTTGGTCCCTAAAGCAGTGTTATAAGCCATCATGGTACAGTGACTTCATTTATGAGTTCAGTGCCTATTACTTGAGAAAAGAGGCTATCTATTATTCAGCAGGAAAGTGGGCTCCTGGTGAAATAGCACAATCTAAGAACTTGAATGTATCTGTTTTTGTAAATGAAATGTTAAGATGAATGGGAATGGAAATCCTGTGTAAATGAGGATCTGAATTTCACAAACCTCTTGGAAATGTTGCTGACGTTACCCGTTATCCTTATAGACAAGAAGGGAAATATATGTCAGTCATTATAGTTGCAAGTTTGTCTCCAGGGTTGTGCTTGGGAGTGGTGTCCTGTTGAAATGTTTTCTCAAACTTTGAATGAACATGGTTACCAATTGTACAGGTAAAATGAGACATGCTGGATGAGAAAAGTTAGCTATTAAAGATCTCAAGACCTTGAATATTGAAATGTAATTCATAAAATAGTACTTGAAGGAGACAAATATTACATTTTGCCTCTTGGGTACAGATCCCAAAATGCACAAACATAAACATGTTCACGAAATATTTTATGGTTTTAGAGTAAAGTTCACCAGGCTTGACGATAGGATCTTGCTGAAAAGTAAATAGAAATCACTCTGGAAAACAGTTTGAAATTTTTCTTAAAAATTAAACATGCAGCTACCATATTTCCCAGTAACTGTACATGTAGGCCTTCGCCCTAGAAAAATGGATACATGTTTACTAATCACCTAAGCTAGAAACAATCCAGATGCTTTTCAAAAGATGGTTGGTTGAATAAACTGACACATCTTATCCCATGGACTATTGCTTAGCAATAAAAATGGTCAAAGTTATTGATACAATTTGGATGAAGCTCTAGAGAATTATGATGAGTGAAAAAGCCTATCAGAAAGGTGCCTACTATATATAATTCCATTTATATAACATTCTTGAAATCACAAAATTATAAGGAGAACAGATTATTGGTTACTAAAGATGGGTGGGAAAAAATAGGAAGAATCATAAAAGGGCAACGTGAGGTACCCTTGTGCTCATAGAAAAGCCCTGTTTGTTGACTGCATCGATGTTAATATCCTGGTTGTGATATTGTACTATAGTTTTGCAAGTTGATACTCCTGGAATGGACTAGGTTAAGAATACATAGGATCTCCTTGTATCATTGCAATTGCATATGAACCTACAATTACTTCAAAATAGAGAGCCAAATTGATACATACACAAATGGAGTTATTCTTTACCATACTGACTTCCACAAGTCATGTAGATGTGGACTACCTTGGTTGGTCAGCGAAGAAGAGATGTGATTATCTTCCATTCTGTGCTGGACAGACAACATCTGAATATCATGTGAGAATCACATTTATAGACAGACACTGAGAAATGCAGTGAATCTGGAAAACAGTTGACAGCAAGCAAAAACAGTTGAAAATTCTGTCAAATGAAGAAAGATTGAGGGAGTTGTGCTATTTAGGTTGGAGATGAAATAACTCAGGTGGCACACAAGAATTGGCTGCAAAATCTGAAGGACTGTTGTTCTGATGACTGATTTGACTTCTTTCTTCCAGGAGGTTGAACAACAATGTGTAGAAGTTGTGTCAAAATATAAAAGTGGCTTCACATAAGACAGGACAGCACACAGGTTTCCTGTTACAGGAAAGATGAACCTCTCCTATGAAGAAATAATCATTTTGGCTTATGTTTTTGTCTTCCGTAAGTTTGGCTTTCGTGAGTCAGGTTCCTTGAGCCCATTCAGCTCAAATACAATGAGAGAGTGAAATTGTGGACCTGTTGAGTTGAGAATCAGTTCTTGAGCACTGGAGAGCTCATGATGTCACTGATGCCCCAGGAATCTGAGCTTGGTGATAAGGATCTAAGTCTTACCACCTGCATCTCATTTGCCAAACATCGCTTCAGACATATCAGCGGATCCTCTCAGGACTAGAAAGTTTGATTGAATTGGCATACATTTTTAGTCGAATAAGACCACCTTCTAAAACTCACCCAAGAAGAAATCTGAGTTGTGAAACACCATGTGTAGCATCAAGTACCCTCAGCGAAGGGAAGGAAGCCATGTTGTGTTCCTAAGAGGCTTCCTACCAGCTGCATGAGCTACACCTGTGTGTCTTTAGTCATCTCCCACCTATTTGTATTTAAGTTGAAAAAGCCCACAGCTGTCCTCTTCCACTGACCTGCAGGAGTCAATTTGCTTAGCTCTGACCTAAAGAGTCAGAGTCAGGCTTCTCTTTTGTGACATCTTCCATGACACGTGACACCCTTATTTCCTCTTTGCCCCATGAGGGCCCTTCTCTGTAGAGGGAAGAAGAGTAGGTAAGTAATTCACCCACCTTGCAGACTGACAGTGAGACATGTAAGTAAACAGGAATATAGTTGCCTTTCTGTCTTGAAACAATTTCCCCCACTTTGTTGCTGGTGAATCATGCAGGATTGGCTCCTACATCAGAATGCCAGGACTGATAACTCTCATTGAGAGTTTGGGGATCCTGTGAGCTCTGTTTTGCACCTTTTAATCAGTTTTTATATTCCCCTTTCTCTGTTTCTATTAAAAATAAAAGCCTGTAAATGCAACTTTATTACTAAATTTTTTAATAAAAGTGAATTTATGTAATCTAGGGAAGATTTCCTTTTTTTCCGAATGCTCTTGCCATTTTCCCTTGACAAAGGAGCACTTTCCTGGTAACTTTCACAGGCAGTCAAAATTGCCCATTATTTTCCTTGACAGTCTGGTCACTGAGGATGTTAGAAACTCATTTGATGATTCAGATCGGAGACACCAACAGTTTCCCAGCAGCATAAAGCACAGCTCTTGATCCCGACACATTTTATTCATCAGGCATTAATGGAGTCCAGGTATAAGCAGAAGTCTGTGCTAATTCCCACATGGTAGCAATTTCTGTCATTAGCTACAGATTTAGGTAATATTTTCCTCTAATGCTAGGGAGGCCCTGAACTACCTTGGCTGGCTTTGTAAGTTTCAGAAAGCCAAACAGAATATAGGGAAGGTAAGCACATTTTTTGATTGTGATTTAGGTCCCATATTTGTTGATTTTGAGTTAATCAAAAAGGTGAGGCTGAGTTAGTCAGCTGAATATTCTGGAAAACGAGACCAACTTCCTGGAAGTGAGAGGCTTTCCTTACAGGTTGGTGAAGTAGGTGGCTGTGTTGAGAAGCCCATGTGCCTGCGAACTCTGGGAGACCTCTAGGAATGGTGGGTGCCCTGTTGGACGTGAGAGTGGTCTCCAGGTGAATGCCAGCGCAAAAGCTCGGACATTGGTCATGCAGCCACAAGGAAACCAGTTCTGCCCCCAATCCCGGTGATCTGGAAGTGGATTGTTCACCAGTTGAGCTCCAGATGAAACTGCTGCTCACTGACTCCTTGATCACAACCATGTGGGAACCTGAGCAGAAAACCCAGCTTAGCCAGGCCCAGGCTCCTACCCTATGGATACAGTGAGATAATTAATGTGTGTTCTATGAGGCTTCCAAGATGGTGGCAATGTGCTCTGTAGTGGTAGATAATTCTCATGAGAACTGTGGCTTTGAATTCCCAGCTCCTGTCATGTAGATGGCTGGGTCCCTCTTTGGAACTGTCCTCAAGCAAAGCTGGCCACCCCCCCCACTTCATGTCTCCTTCTTGAGGACAGCCAGAGGCCAGTGAGTGGCCCTTGGGGGACAGGAAGGGGTGAAAGGCATTGCCTGCATGCTGTAAGCAGGGATGGGTCTGAAAGATTGGCTGGAGCTGTCCATGGAATTGGCTGTGGCTTTTTTGTGACTGGAAGTTCAGTCCCGCCCTCTGCCTAACTCTATTTTCTTTATTCTCTTTGTTTTTTGTTTTTTTCTTTTTATTGAGGTTATTGGTACAATCTAGGTATACAATACAATTACATTCATCATTGGGATTCTGTACCTTTACATATTAGGTCTTGATTCTCATTTTTCCCCTTGTCCCTGTCCTCCCTTCACCCCCTCCTCCCCCCCCATTTACAAACACTTTATTTCCATTTTTTCAGTTTCCCATATATTTTTCCTCTCCCTTATTACCTTTCCCCCACCCTTCCCACTTTCCTTACACCTTTAGCCCTTTACTTCCTATTTCACATTTGCCTTTGTTTTGATCTTGAGACCACAACAAGTGGTGTAAACCTCTCCCTCAGATCTGTTCCCAGGGAAACTCACCTAAAACACCTGCAACTGCTTTCATCAATACGTCACACATTGTCAGGTGGAGCCCTCTAAAGCCTGAAGCCTGAAGGAAAAGACAACCAAAAGACAAATAGGTGCTGGTGACCTTCTTTTAATTTGCTATGTTTTATAAACACAGATTTCCCCATTATTTTTCAATAACCTTTCAGAGAATCCTTTAAAATTTAGCATAAATCACTGAGATGATCTCCAGAGATGATCAAAGTTCATGCTTTTTATTTTACAGAATGGAAAATGGAGTCCTGCTCTGTGTGTGTGTGTGTGTGTGTGTGTGTGTGTGTGTGTTCTAGATGGTTGTCCTGCTAATTCATTCATGCCATCAACAGATTTTTTTTTCAGCACTGGAGCTGGCTTCTTTGTTGGCTGTGTAAAATGTGCAGGCTGATACAGCCTGTAGCTTCCTGATGTGACATCATCAGAGGCTGTACAGGGCTACCTGGGAGACTATCAGGACCAGAGACCACTCACTACCTCTCACTGTGGTTCTACCCCATGTCCACTCTCTTAGTACCTGTTGCTCCTCTCCTGGGGAAGTTGCATAACCCTAACTCAGACTTGCTACGGACCGTAGGGCAGCAAACACTGGATTTCACGAGGAGATACAGGTTCTCTGAAAGGTGGGAGCAGGTTCGGCGATGACAGTCAGACAAAAGCACTCAACACCGAGGTGAAGTTTGCAAATGCTGCTGCAATTTTATTTCTAACTCTAGGTGTTTATATACTAGTTTCAAGGGCACACCTCAAGAGTGATTTCAGGCACAGGCAGGCATGAGAAAGATAGACAATAGTACTGTAAAAACTAAGACCACAAGGTCAAGTTAAGACCACACCTATATACCATCACAAAAGCTAAGACCATTAAGTCAAGGTAAGACCACACCTATACGCAGTCAGAAGGGGAACTTTGTAAAACAAAGGACTGGCTTCAGCATGTCACCTTCAGGATCACCTTCAGGACTTCACAGTCCGGGGCTCAGGGTCAGCACTTTGGCCGCCCGTCCTCTTGTGCCTCAATACCTCCCCATCTCTAGGAACATCTAATTGTTCCTAACCTTTCCTGGGCCCAGAATACAATTCTACAGATAATGAACAAATAGTAATAAAGACAAAATAGAACAGAATTATAGATGAACCCAATGTCCCCAAACTGCAGGCAGAGAGGCCAGCTATTCTCTTCACGGCTGACTTTGCATGCGGTGTGTGCCAAGGACCTCCAGGAGGCTTAACCCCGTGGGGACGATACCTCTGGTCTGGTTTCTGCCAGGTGACCGGCATTGTCACACAGACTCTACTGGAGTGGTCGTGGCACAGACTCACCAATTTGTCCTTAAACTCTAATGTGTCATGAAAAATGAAGCTAGAAGTGATGGTGGAAATGCATTTTCTGGGCTCAGGGAAAGAGAATCAGAAATCTGGCAGTAGGGAAAGAGACAATGATTTTCTTACCACCAACAAAACCAGAACTTTGGTGCAGAGTTCAGGAAATGCTAAATGTCAAAGTGCAGTTCATTATATTTTGAGGAAAAAATAGGGATACAGGAGGACACACATTCCAAAGTACTATATTGAGGCCCGGGGAGTTAGCTCAGGGTTCCACCGCCTGCCTTGCAAGTGCAAAGACCTGGGTTCGACCCCTGGTACAAAAAAAAAGTATGATATTGACACAGAAAGATGATTAACTCCAGGGTAAGGACAGTAAGACTCAGAAAAGAACAAGGAGCACTTTCTGCTGTTTCTCTCAGAGGTGTGATATGCTTTGAAACAAATCTCTGTAATTTTAGCTGATGATATATCAGGCCTGGAATCTCTGACTTTTTATTGTGAATGATTAATTACCAAATTTTTGAATTGGCTTGGGCTTTTTATTGGTTAACCCTTAATCATTATTTTGACAAAGCGCTTTGCCCCTGACAATTTAGTAAAAGCCAACAAAAAACAAACAATAGAAAACAAGTTCTAAAAACCAAGCCCCAATGTTGTAAGCTGGCAAAGACTTAAGGAGGTGAGGAAGGCGGATCCCTGCAGAGATCCTGAACATTGGCCATGTACCTGTTAAAGTTAGAAGGAGTAATGCTGCCCACAGAAAGAGATGAACTCTACACTGATGAAAAGAACTATGTTTTATTTTCCTTATCCAAGTTGTAAGTAAGATGATTTACTTTGATTTTGCCATAATGATCATTGTCACCTATACCGTGCTTGCTATGGGCCTGGCACCATCCTAAACACTTTACAAACACTAATTCAGTTAATCTTCACAATGGTTCTATCCAGTAGCTACTACTAAAATAATTGACAGAGAAATGACCACAAGTGTGTTTGAATTGTATACAGCTTATACTTAAGTGAAAGGATTTGAACTTCTTAACTTGTGCTTTGGAAAGACAAGTGATTTGTTTTTACAAATTATCTTTTATTTTTGCTTTTATTTATTTATTTATTTTGGTACTGGTGATCGAACTCAGGTCCTTGTGCTTGCAAGGTAGGTGGCAGAGCCACTGAGCTAAATCCCCAGCCCTTACAAGTTATCTTTGACATCCTGCATTTGCTGATAACTTTCTTCCTTTGGAAAGTAATCACTTTTACATGTGGGTATTGTATAAAATACATGCCTGTTCTAGACCATTCAGGGACCAATTACCAAAGGTTTAAAATAGCCCAGGCTCATTGTCTCTTTTTTCCCTCTCTCTGCTGCCCACCCTCTGGTGCCCCTTTGTTCCCAGACATGTCCCCTTGTTGAGCAGAAACTCAAATCTGTCAGACACGGTTACCTGTTCCCTGCTCTGCTGCAGACCAAGTGGGAGGCCTCACCAAGGGCATTTCCTGTCTTAGCCTTGTCCCTGTGCCACAGAGGCCTGGATGCTGCCTCGGAGATCCAGAGACCCCAAACTGCTAGGCAACAGGAGAACCTTGCTAGCTCTCCCTTTAATTTACCACCAAGAAGTTCCTGGCAAAACACCAATTTTGTGTAATTAGACTGAGCGATACAGCATATTTGCTGTCACCCAGCATGTATTTTTAACCTATTGTTGTTTACCAGCCACCTGTTACTGCGTGCTATCATTCTGTGTTGAATACTGAAAAAACGTAAGTCCCTATCTCTGCCA